ACTTTCCAGGATTACTTTTGTACTTTTCCTCCTACTAGTTTGAGGTCATATCTCCGTGTTCTTGATCTTAGCTTCTTACTGAAAATACTTGCCCTTCTGAACCTTATTCAAACCTTTAATGTATTTAAAAGGTTTCCATCATGTCTCCCCTTTCCCTTCTTTGCTCATCTAGTCTAGTAAGTAAATATTGGCAGTCAAGGTTTCTGATTGATGTTGTCATGCTTCTTGAACTAATAAAGCAAGATCTCAACAAGAATTACTTGTGTTTGTTTGCCCAGTTTACGATGAGGCTTGACAAAGTTTGAGGCACTGCTGAGATCAAGCGTACATCAGCAGAACTAATGATCATTATTTCTTAGTCAATTATTTATTAGTTATAAAAAGGTATGGTGTAGGTCGGTATAGAAAGCACATCCCTAGCGATATAGACAGAATAACATGAGTAGAGAAGATGTGGGACTTTTAAGGTACTAAGAACCTCAGGATCAGGCACTAAACAATGACATGCTAATATTCATTCATTTATTAGACCCTGTATGTTAGAAACACACAAGGTCTAATAAATTAATGCATTTTTAGCATGCCAGTGTTCAGTGCCTGCTGCTGAGGTTCTCAGCACATTAAAAGTCCCACATCTTCTCTACTCATGTTATTTATTTATTTATTAGTTCTCTATTGTGGCAGCAGTAATTTAGTGATTTATATTTTAACACGGCATGCCACAAAACTTTGCAGGGCACAATATTCTGATGTGAATGTGGCCTTAATATGGATACAATGTTGTGATCTTTCCTAAACACTCACTGCTCAACATCAGCTCTATCCAGTCACATACAGGTACTTTCATATTTTACTTTACTGGCTTATATTGATACAAGCATATGATGAAAAATAAGTAAAGTCTGAGTTTATGGGTAATCATAACATTCCATACTTAAAAAGTGTTTAGATAATTCATAGCTGCAAAATCCCACTCACAAATGAAGTTTGTGGACCCTATAAAAGGAGATTGTAAATCAATATTATTATTATACAGTATTTATATAGCGCCAAAAAGTTTGCTCAGCGTTGTACATTCTAGTGGGGGACAGTACATGAGACAATACAGTAACAATACAATACACGAGGGGTTCGAGGGCCCTGCTCCTTGGAGCTTACAATCTAGGAGATGTACACTATATAATGTGCAATGTATGAATTTTGATGTTTTATGCTCAGGAACATTTCCCTTTTAAATGTGTTTTAATGTTAAAATAAAATAGATGTATATTTTTTTTTTACAGTGGTTGTGTCATCCTCTGTAGCAATTTCACCCCCCCCCCCTTTTTTTTTTATCTTTAAAAGAGAAATAGGGCTTCCCCCATTTATACTTACCTAGGTGGATGTAACATCGTAACATCGGTCCGATGCTGCATCTGGCCCCCGTCAGCTCTAAGTGTGAGAACTCATGAGTTCTCACAGCCAATCTGAGCAGAGAGCAGTGACTGTCAGTCACCGCTTTCTGCTCTGCCCACTGTGCTCACTGGAACGCTGGGCTGTGGAGGGAAGGGATGGCTCAGGCTCTAAGCAGATCGCTGATGACCCTGAGCCAGGTGCTGCTCCAGACACTGGGGTGGATCCCGACTTTGAAATCTTGGATCAGCTGCGTGGCGTCAGCTTAAAACGGGTTACAGGAGTGCAGAGTGAACTGCACTCCTGTGATCCACAGGACAAGCACAGCCAAAAGAGCTTTGCCTGTACTTCTCCTTTAGGCTTTAGCTATGCTTCTGATGACACCATCTTTCAGTTTACTTCAGCACCTGCACTCACTGTTGGTGTATGGCTGAAAAGTGGTGCACTGGATTAGGTCAATTCTTATTTCCCCTCAGCTCTTTACCAACAGGTTCAACAAAAAACTGACCAGATTCCCCCATTCACACATTTGAGGGTGGATGGGGGAATCCTCTTTGATGTACTACTGTATTAACCAAGTTATTTTTGAGCTACTTTAACTGGCAATTGGGCAGTCATGCAAGACTGTACACAAATTAAATTCATTAAAAAAATTTCAGACAAATAGAGATTCCTTTTTGTGGTATTTGATCACCACTGGGTTTTTTATTTGTTATTATATAAAGGAAAAAAAACAGCAATTTGATTTAAAAATATATATATTTTTACTTTCTGCTATAAAATATATCCAGTAAAAATGTTTTTTAAATCAAATTTCTTTATAAATTTTGGGCAAAATGTATTCTGCTACATGCCTTTGGTAAAAATCCCAATATATATATATTTAGATTTTGCGGTATTGATAGAACAGAAGGTCATTGGAGAGGTGGAGACAAAGTGAAAGCTATCTCCCAAAATGAAACGTTTTGGATTTTTGAGCTTCATACTCTAAAGATCGCACGGTTGAAATGTAGCTCTAGATCTAAATTCTTTAATTTCCAATTTTTGATGTACTGAGCAGGAAGTGATTTATTTTAATAATATTTTAATATTTAAAATACATTTTTAGAGGATATATTATATCATATAAATTAGTATTTATTTATTTAAATAACTGATATTTGGGAAATTATATTTTATAATAGGATTTTAATAATGATAATTTATATTTTATTTATTGAATACTATATGATATTATATTATATATTAGAGAGGGAATAATTACATTTTTAATATGTTTATTTATATATGAATTATTTTAGGTATTTTAATTATTTAAGAATGGGAGGTTATCAAATAATATTACATATCAGAGTATCAGTATTCTAGGTATTTTATATTGATTAGGATTAATTTTTTTAGATTAGATTATTTTAGTATTGTGGAATAATATAGATCTCAATGTTTACATATGTTTTTGCAGATGATTTTAGATTAATATAGAGTTATTAACATAAAAGTGCATTTAGACACATATTTATATTATCAGTATGTGCAGCATCCTCTAGGGGGAGTCTATGTGATTGATATGCATATATTCATGTAGTGTTTGGCGATTTGTTAATTGTTATTGTTTTTGTTGGAGCCCTTGTAATATTCTCGGTGGGATCCTCTATTTGAAATGCGGAGTACAGCTGAATTGGGAGCCGCGTTATTTGCTATACCATATGTATATTGTATATCGTGCATCATTGGCATTGTTCCCTGCTCTAACATGGCGGTTGTGGTCTCAGCACCATGTTAGAGAGGGGTATAAGTAGGACCTTCCTGTTTGGCATCTCCATCCCTTATATAAGTCCGATGACGAAACACGTCAAGGGAAGTGACGTCAGATGCACAGCGGAACCAGAAGTGACCGAGCGGCCATCTTGGATACGGGCAGTTCCTCTCTGAATTGCATGTGGAGGCTACCAGGACATTCCCAGAGGTCTGGCTATCACATATTTGGCGTTTTTAAATATGGATTAAGATGTAAGCAGATTAATAAAGTATATTTTATTGGTGTATTACGGGTTTACACTATACTTTATTTCATATATGGTGGGCATCGGTGGGGCTTGGGGATTGATGGTAGAAGGATAAGGAATATGCAGGTTGCTGTATTCGGATGACATCAGGAACGTATCTATAAGGCTGTGATATCATGAAAGGATCTCCTCGGGAAGCATATTATGTGGAATTATCCTGTCCTGATGGTTATAAAGCGTGTTATTTATTTTATTTGGTAAGGGTATTTACTCCTTACACAATAGAAGTGGACACAGTTTTTTCACTTGCTGTTGGATTGTTATTTTTCTGCACTTGATTGATTCACTGTCACGTTTTGACACATTTATTCACTTTATCACTATTAGTGATCACGTGTGTTTTTTTGCGTTTTCCATAAACCACATTTGCTTATCCAGAGTGTATAATTTTGTCAAGAATAATGCACTATGTGTATTTTCTTTTCTTTTGAGGTTTTCTATTGGCCTTAGGAGCCATTTGGAGGGTTTCAACACGAAGATTGTTTTTGGGAATTCTTCTACTGAGTGACTATATATTTTTTGAAGGACCTTATTTTTGTATATATGTTGGACATTTTCTTTTGCATTATTTGATATATGATTGAGGAGTTATATATTGTTTATAGTTAGCATATCATTACTCACAGATTATCACACTTTTGGGTTGAAAGTGTTCACATTTGCTATAGGGGATTTTGGATATAGTTTGCTGAGGGGATACCGTAATCTTAGATAATTTTAAGGTTAAACCATTGTCCACCTAGCCAAAAGAACTGGGTCACCCCTCTCCTCATGGTCAGCCAAAGCCGAGCAACGAGTACATGGTGAGAAGGCTCTCTCAAAGACCAGGTTCAGGGGAGGAAAGAACCTGATGGCCACACATCCTCCCCCTAGACTTTAGAGTAGGCCCGAGGACCCACACCCTCCATCCAGTGAAAAATACACAAACAAAAGTGAAAAGTGACAAATGTGAAGAGTGTATATTAAATGGTTTGCGTGATAGTTATAGTGTCTACAAACAATGGTATATATAATGGAACTTTGTTTTGTATGCTAGTGTACTGGTATTGGCGGTGATCAGTAACTTATAGTGGGACTGTGATAGTGCAGAGGGCAATCTGACACTTTGTGAGAACTGTCACTGACATCACCAAAGACAGTAATACAATAATCAGAGCTAATACTATACATGGTCACTATACTACACTGTACTAGTTGGGAAGGGGTTAACATCTAGGGGCAATCAAAGGGTTAACTGCGTCCCTATGGATGTTTACTGTGTGTAAAGTCCGGACACTCCCTTCCAGTCTAGGCCAATTTTCAGCTTTCAGCGCTATCACACTTTGAGCGACAATTACTCAGTCATGCAACACTACTTACGTATATGACATTTTTATCATTTTTTTAGAGATATTTTTCTTCATAAATTTAGGCCTAAATGTATTCTGGGGTAAAAAAAATAACCCAAACAGTGTATATTATTTAGTCTGTGTGAAAGTTACAGAGTCTGCAAACTCCAAGATATATATTTGAAAATTGGCCAGTTGAGACCCTAAAATACCAGATGCTGGTATGACTTATAGCAGTGATCAGGATGCTGGTATGATGTATGATGGTAATTAGGATGCTGGTATGGAGTATGGCAGTGATCAGGATGCTGGTATGGGGTATGGCAGTGATCAGGAAGCTGGAATGGGGTATGGCAGTGATCGGGGGACGCTGGTATGGCGGTGATCAGGATATTGGTATGGTGATGTTTTTTGTGCGCACTGGGAAGGTGACAGGGCCGGCTGCATTATTTGATCAGGTGATCAGGGTGCTGGTATCAATATCAGGACGCTGGTATGGATTACGTGGTGATCAGGACAGTGGTATAGGGTATGACAATGATCAGGTTGCTGGTATAGTGTATGGCGGTGATCAGAGCTCTAGTATGGTGTATGGCAGTGATCAGGGTGCTGATATGGGGCATCTTGGTGATCAGGATGCTGGTATGGGGTATGGCGGTGATCAGGATGCTGGTATGGGGTATGGCGGTGATCAGGATGCTGGTATGATGTATGTTGGTGATCAGGATGCTAGTATGATGTATGGCTGTGATCAGGGTGTTGATATGGTGCATGGTGGTGCATGGTGTTGGTAGGGATGGCAATGATCAGGATGCTGGTATGGGGTATGGTGGTGATCAGGATGCCGGTATTATTATTATTATTTATTATACAGTATTTATATAGCGCCAACGGTTTGCTCAGCGCTGTACATTATAATGGGAGACAGTACACGAGAGACAGTACAGTAACAATACAATACAATACACGAGGGGTTCGAGGGCCCTGCTCCTTGGAGCTTACAATCTAGGAGGGAGGGGAGTGGTACAGGAGGAAATAGCTGTGGGGGATGGAGTGGTGGGAAGAGTGGAGGAGATCAGCAAATTAGGTGAGGGCGGGGTAGGCTCCCTTGGTATAGTGTATGGCGGTGATCAGGATGTTGATATGGGGCATGGCGGTAATCAGGATGCTGGTATGGGGCATGGCAGTGATCACGGTGTTAGTATGAGGCATGGCAGTGATCACGGTGTTGGTATGGGGCATGGCAGTGATCACGGTGTTGGTATGGGGCATGGCAGTGATCACGGTCTTGGTATGGGGCATGGCAGTGATCACGAGTGTTGGTATGGGGTATGGCAGTGATCACCGTGTTGGTATGGGGTATGGCAGTGATCACCGTGTTGGTATGGGGTATGGCAGTGATCACCGTGTCGGTATGGCAGTGATCACGATGTTGGTATAGGGTATTGTGGTGATCAGGATGCTGGTATGATGTATGGCGGTGATCAGTGTGTTGGTGTGGGGTATGGCGGTGATCAGGATGCTGGTATGGGGCATGGTGGGGATCAGGACTGGCTGCATTATTTATTGTCCCTACACTGGGGCACTGGGGGTGAGGGTGGCTGGCACTGCAGTCCGTGAATGTACAAGCCGCCTGACAGGCTGCTGTACACTCACGGGCTGCAGCGATCCTTAGTTCCACTTGTAAACACATGTGATCACCCAGACACAACGGTAATGTAATCCGCTGTGTCCAGGCGACATACCGATTGCGGCGCTCCCAGGTGCATGCGTTAAAGTGATACAAAAGTATATATATATATATATATATATATATATATATATGTGTAAAGCGCTGCGTAAATTGATGGCGCTATACAAGTACCTATAATAAATAAATAAATAAATAATACTAAGGTCAGGAATACTCATCTGTTCTCCAACAGTCCAACAGTCTATTATTACTATGAATATAAACACTCCACAGTGCAAAAAAATATATACATTTTTTTTATGTGTAAAAAGTCCAACAAAAAAAAAAAAAGTACCAAATATAAAAATCTGCTCCAATCCCAGAAATAGTGCTCAACAAAATCTTTAAAAAGTGCTCACACCATCCGTGATTGACCATACAATCCCCACTCACCAGATGGAGTGGACTCTTTGCTGGTATGGCTAAAGAGTCAAACAAGATTTAAAGACGGGGTGTATCCTCCCCAGATACATCTGCACTTGATATCTTCCAAAAACGATTCCCACATTTAGATGGATTTGGATTCCATAGACTTCAATAAGAGAGTTTGACATTATGTTTGAGTTTTGCTGATATTTTCTTTAGATCCTCCCTTCGTAAGGCACATTGTCTCCTTGCTGATGGGGATAAGTTCCTCATCCTATGCTTGAACCCACGATCAAGTGATCATCCAATACCAGGTTGTTCTCCTCACTGTGTATTTCTTAGAGAAGTACTTCTTCTGGGTTTTCAATTTACTGCTTGATGTGGGACAATTCCCGTTGGCTGACCAGTGGAGTGGCGCTCATGGTAACCATGAGCTGATAGCACGTAATGTTTCTGGTGCGTCGCCTCCTCACCACCTGGTTTAACGCCTTAATCACTGCACTAGTGTGCCGCAACTGCATGCATTGCACCTGGTTGTGCAGCACTTGCAACATGGGGTATTATTACTGACGTAGCTTGCATACACCCAAGCCGCTGCCCCTGCAGCTAAAGGGAGTAGCAGTTGGGGATGATAAAAGTGTGGCTTAACTACACCTCCCAACCTCATAAGCCCTTAGATCAACTCCCTGTAAAAAAAAAAAAATCTGAGACTGGGATGATGAGGTTGTGCACTGTTTGCCAATCAGGTTTTATTCCACTGCAGAGTGCTGGCAAATTAGGATGCTTTCAGACACTGAGGGCTGGGAAATATTTTGGCAGTTTACAACATGATGATCTGTCCAGGTTCAAAAAGCAAGCATGTAACACCAGAAACCAAAAAGCTGCAATAATGAAAGTGACATCACTGACCTGGCCATGCAGCATGTGAAGCACAAGGTATCTGGCAGGTAGGACAGTACACACAGTGCATCCAGAAAGTATTCACAGCGCTTAACTTTTGCCACATTTTGTTATGTTACAGCCTTATTCCAAAATGGATTACAGTCATTTTTTTCCTCAACATTCTACAAACAATACCCCATAATGAAAATGTGAAAGAAGTTTGTTTTGAAATCTTTGCAATTTATTCAAAATAAAAATCCACATGTACACAAGTATTCACAGTCTTTGCTCAATATTTTGTAGAAGCACCTTTAGGCTACGTTCAAACTAGCTTTGTCAGCAGAAAATTCTGCACATGGCAGCACACAGTGCTGTTCACACGGAAGCGTTAGCATCGCGGCAAAACTGACGCCTCTGGTCGGGTCAGGAGGAGTTGAAGCCTCCCATTCAAGTCTACGGTGCCGCTCTGCAAACGCCCGGCCGGTGTTTGTGGTGCGGTTGCGAGGCGTTTGTGGAACGTTAATACCATTTAAACTTCATTATAGGAGTTTGTGGTGCAGTTTTACTGCTTGGCAAACGCCTATCAACCACCTCAAAACCGCGCATAGGGCATTTTGGGAGCGTTTGCGGAGCATTAAAAACACTTCACAAACACCTGTCTAACGCTTGTCAAACGCTATAGGGGCATTTGGCAACAGTTAGAAATAAAGTCAAGTGTGAACGAGCCCTTAGCACAAATTACAGCCTCAAGTAGTTTTGAGTATGATGCTACAAGCTTGGCACACCTATTTGTGGGCAATTTTCTCCCTTTCTTCTTTGCAGTACCTCTCAAGTTCCATCAAGTTGGATGGGGAGCATCGGTGCACAGCCATTTTCAGATCTCTCCAAAGATGTTCAATTGGGTTTAAGTCTGGGCTCTTGCTGGCCACTCCAACACATTCACAGAGTTGGCCTGTAGCCACTTCTTTGTTATGTGGGCTGTGTGCTTAGGGTCGCTGCCCTGTTGAAAGATGAACCGTCGCCCCAGTCTAAGGTCCAGAGCGCACTGGAAAACAGGTTTTCATCAAGGATGTCTTTGTAAATTGCTGCATTTATCTTTCCTTCAATCCTGACTAGTCTCCCAGTTCCTTCCGCTGAAAAACATCCCCACAGCATAATGCTGCCACCACCATGCTTCACTGTAGGGATGGTATTGGCCAGGTGGTGAGCGGTGCCTGGCTTCCTCCAGACATGGTGCTTGGCATTCAGGCCAAAGAGTTCAATCTTTGTTCCATCAGACCAGAGAGTTTTGTTTCTCATGGTCTGAGAGTCCCTCAGGTGCCTTTTGGCAAACTCCAGGTGGGCTGCCATTTGCCTTTTACTGAGGAGTGGCTTCCGTCTGGCCACTCTACCATACAGGCCTGATTGGTAGAGTGCTGCAGAGATGGTTGTTCTTCTGGAAAGTTCTCCACTCTTCACAGAGAAACGCTGGAGCTCTTTCAGAGTGACCATCGGGTGCTTGGTTACCTCTCTGGCTAAGGCCCTTCTCCCTCAATCGCCCATTTTGGCCAGGCAGCCTGCTCTAGGAAGTTATCTGGTGGTTAAAACTTCTTCCATTTACAGATGATGGAGGCCACTGTGCTCATTGGGACCTTCAATGCTGCAGAAATTTTTCTGTACCATTCCCCAGATCTGTGCCTTGATACAATCCTGTCTCGGAGATCTATGGACAATTCCTTGGACTTCACGGCTTGGTTTGTGCTCTGACATGCACTGTTGACTGTGGGACCTTATATAGACAGGTTTATGCCTTTCCTAATCATGTCCAATCAACTGAATTTCCCACAGGTGGACTCCAAATCAAGTTGTGGGAACATCTCAAGGATGATCAGTGGAACAGGATGCACCAGAGCTCAATTTTGAGTGTCATGGCAAAGGCTGTGAATACCTATGTACATGTGTTTTTTGTTTTTTATTTTTAATAAATTGCAAAGATTTCAAAATGAACTTCTTTCACGTTGTCATTATAGGGTATTGTTTGTAGAATGTTGAGGCAAAAAGTGAATTTAATCCATTTTGGAATAAGGCTGTAACATAACGAAATGTGGCGAAAGTTAAGCGCTGTGAATACTTTCTGGATGCACTGTGCACTATATACTGTACCGCTATTACAGCTGTGTATTTAGCTGTGGAGCTAGAGTTCCAGTTTATGAATCATCCACTTCGACATTTTCACACGACTATGATAAATCTCGTTACAACAAACGGATTATGCCCAGGAGTTTATTATTTTTAATTGATTGTCTAATGTCTGAAAACATGTAATTTGGGATGGGGGAAAGGGTATGCATATTTATTATGGCTATATAAATACAAATATATATTCATTTATGATCCAGTTCAACCAGAAATGTAACTAGAAACTGTCTATGTAATGTTGAGGAGGGGCTGCTAAGTTATGTCTTCCATAATGAACTCTGTCTGTACTGTGCTGGAAGATGTCCATTATCATTTGTAAACTAGATGGCCAGCTGCAGGACTGTCTATACTGACAATGGGCTGAAGATCTCAAGGCTTGGGTGTTACATTGCCACTACAATGCAAGAGTTAAATGCTCATTTAGATCTGGAAGGACTCTGAAATTTGACTGCAAACATGGAAATACAGTTGGCCAATACAGCAAAATGCAGTGTTTTAGCATGTGGACAGCTGTCAAAGTCCGATCCAGCAGGGAGCTGCACCATGCAAGTTCCCAGTTTTTTTTTGTTTTTTGTACTTTATTTGAAAAGTCATATAGTGACACTTCCTTCATGTCATGTCA